TCGGCTCAGGTCATGATCCCAGGGTTCTGGGATGAGTCCCGCATCGGGCTCCCTGCTCAGTGGGAGTCTGCTTCTCCCTCTGCCCACTGCTCCTCCCGATTGTGCTCTCTGACAGATGAATAAATAAAACCTTTAACAATAAATAAATGGTCTACTTAAAAAAAAAAGGGGGATATGAATCAGTATGGGTTACCGCTAATGGCTAAATTCCATTCGTGAAAAAAATTCTTCCCTGCTAACAGATATTCATGGGGAAAGAACTAAATGTAAAATCCAGGTATAGCTGACCCTTGACAACATGGGTTTGAACTTCGAGGGTCCACTGACAGGTGGATTTCTTTTTTTAATACAGTAGAGGGCTGTAAATGTATTTTCTCTTCCTTAGGATTCTCTCAATATTCTTTTCTCTAGCTCTAGTGTAAGAATACAGTATGTATGTAACATGTAACATGCAAAATATGTGTCGAGTGTTTACGTTATTGGTCAGGCTTTCGGTCAAGAGCAGGCTATTCATAGTTACACTTTAGGAAGTCAAAAGTTATTCATGGATTTTCAACTGCATTGTTCAAGGGTCAACTGTATCCGAAGTTTCTAATTTCATGTACATAATTCTAAAAAAAATTTTTTTTTAATTTTAAATGCTGATTTTTACCAGCACTTGTTAATTGGATCGATCTGTGGCTTCCGTAAGAAAGAAGTTACTTAAGAATAGGTGACCCCTTAATTTTCCATTCACTCCTAATACAGTGGAAGCATTTACTACAAGAGAGGAAAAAACTTTTGGTGGATGAGAGGGTGTGCTAATGGTAAAGCATGGGGGGTGGGGGTGTTGCTCTAACAAAAGGGGCTAGAGAGCAAAGGTTCTATCTTGTCGTCCCGCCCTATGTACTTGGCCACAGCCGCACTAACGAGAAGCAGCCGTCAGTCCTCACCTCTACATCGAAGAGCGTCGACCCGTAGCCTGGCCACTCCTTGATCAAGGCCATGTACTTGGCCATGGCCTGTTCCTGGCCCATTCCCTGCAGCTTCTTCCATTTGTCAATGATACTGGCCCGAGCCGAGGAGACCTCCTCCTTGATCCACATGTCCAGCATCTGTTCCTCCTCGACCTTCTGCCGGACGACAGACCCTGTCCGGAAGCTGCGCCTCAGCGTCCCCTCCAGGAAGCTCGTCCGCCTCTTCTCCAGCCGCTCACATGGGGTGAAGCTTTTGGTGGACTGGCTAATGCGGGCCTTCAGTCTCTGCAGGGAGTAGACGTCCTCGAGGGGCGGCACGGAGGCGTGCAGCGAGTAGTCCCCCTGCAGGTACTGGAGCCGCAAGGCAGCAAGGACCTGCAGGTTCTCTTCGGGGGCTGGGTAGTGGCCGCGGATAACCGCTTCGTGGGCCTGAAAGGAGGCAGCAATGTTAGGGGTGTGTGACCCAAAATCCATCAGCATCTCCCTCCAAATGTCACCTTCCCTGACAACTGTACCCTCCCCTGCTTTGCTGCTTGAAATCTCTCCTCAGCACAGACGGCATCTAACGCATATTTCATCCCTTAATGTCTCTCTCCTCCCAGCTAGAACAGGTCTTGGCACAGGACCTCAGACAGCATGTGTTGTGGTTTCGTTCTAGAGATGCATAAGGAGCAGCCGCCTCGGGCATGCTGGGAAATGTACCGTCATGCCTCACCCCTCCGGACCAACCACGAACTTAAGAAGAGTGTGAACAGGTTTCACCCCTGTTCCCCAGCAGAGGAATCCGTTTCTGAAAGTTCTTCTACCTGTTCAAACATAAACGCAAATTCCACGCTGTCTTTTGGCACGTTGTCTGTGTCCAGGAAGCAGTAAAGTTTGAAGTAGAATTTCCAGGGCAGGTCCCCCACCTCTGATGTGGCAGCCAGCCTATGGACAGAAGGCAAGGGAGGTTCAGAAAGCAAAAGGAGAAATGGCCTTTCGGTGCCACAAGGAATTGACTTTAGATGACTCATTCTTTACTAACTGTATTTAGCCAGAAGTGAAAAACACACTTTCATTTTGGTCTCACTTTAAGACAACAAATGGGCAGCCTTCAATTACACTGTGCTAACAAGGATTTTCTGCAGGCCCCAGGCAAATTAGTACTGGCTAAACATTATGCTGAATCCATAGCAAGAAAATAAACAAAGGCTCTATCTTCATTCCCTTTACTAACCCTCAAATAAACGACAATATTTACAAAAAATCAGCATGAATATTATGGAGGCTGTGTTTATATTGAACAGGAATATCTTTTGTGCTACTTAGGGGATAAGAAAGTCCTAGATCGAATATCACAGGTGCGTGAGATATAAAATGCAGTTTGAAGAGTGTATGAGTTTGCCTGTGTCTGCTGGCCCCGTTTCGAAGCCAATGACAAGTGAAAAGCCTAGAATCAGGAAATGCCAAGGCAGTGTGTACAACAGGGGACTGAACGAATGGGGTAAAAAAACAATGGCGAGCTGAATCTTACTTGAGATGGGCTTTATCTAGGAATTAAGAAAAACAGGCAGCAGGGGGAGATGAAAAATTAAACGTGCTTCAACACAAGTAAAAGAATAGGAACTCAAATGCACACTGAAGCCAAAAACGAATGGAAATTCAGATCCTCAACTCTTGCTCTTAATTTATTTCATCTGCTGGCACTCCAGGGAGAAGGAACTTACTTTTCAAACTTTGCTAACACGTCCGCTACGATGGTTCGGCTTTCAATGGCTTTATCGACGCTTCCGTTGTACTCAAACAAAGCAAACATGTTTCTGCTGTCCTCCATGGCCAGGCCTCTGATCAGCTTCTCCACCACCTGCAAGATACACCCCGAGGTCTTCAGCTTCCAGCACGTGGTTCTGGAATGTGCCTTCTCACCAGAGCCCCCAGCAAGCTGCCGACACGCGAGGGTCCAAGCAGCTCCCCCCACTGTCATGTGTGGTCACACAGAATTTCAAAAGTGCTGTTTTTCCATTGTTCCCTAGAAATCAGATTTCTCTTGTCTTTGTAAAAAAAAAAAAAAAAAAAAGAATGCAGAGCATTTTGCCCACTGGTAGAGACAGACGCCAGGCAAAGTTCTCGCAAACCCATACTAGCAGGAAAGGCACACAAAAACTGAAGCCCTCTCTTTCATCGGATACATTCATCAACTTCCAAGAAACAATGGCTTCCACTGATGTTTCTCCTTTCCATGCCAGAAGCTTCTCTGGATTTTATTGCCCTACTCCTTTTAGCCAATTGGTTTTAGAATGCTAAATTTCAATTTTAAAAAAGGAAAAAAAAATGTGCTCATCTGACACATCATTGTAGATATTTGCATGGCAAACAGAGACCCCTTATTGGAGAGATGCTATGATAAACCCACACGCACCTGCCTCTTACATTAGCAGGATTAGGTCTCAGCTATTTTGGCACCAGCTTAACTTTTGTGTTTCTACTCATTTTTGATACATATTTTTATCTCGATACATGAGTTTGGGTGTAGGTTCCATCTTGTTTATTGAGCTGCTACACTATGCACGTCACAACTACGCGGTAGCCCCCCTAACCGTGTACAACTTTCCTGACTTGTGTGCATCGCAGTTAGGTATCAGGGGCTTCTCCCTCACCTCCCCGGCTGTGGTGTGGGAGTTGATGGTAATCTTGCAGGAGCCTCCCCCGTGGCAATACACTGTGGACGTCATTTCCTGCCTATGGATCAGAGCTTCTATTTCATCTCGGGAAGGCACAAACTCTCTGCATTTGGTTTTCTTGAGAGATTCATAAATGAAGAGGGAGTATTTTTCCATCTCGGTTCCTGGAAACTGTTCCCGTATCCTAGGAGACAAACACTTCATTGTTAATTGCTAGACTGAGGCTGGCTGGCGTCTGGGAGCCCGATGCTTTCAGCGCGCTGCCCACGAAGGCACCAAGGGGGCCCCCCATGGTGCAGAGCAAACACCAGCCACTTTCTGTGCAGGTTTTGTTTAAATGCAAACAATAAAAAAAAAAAAAAAAAAAAATCCCAGTGAGCCAGGGTTGGATGGGGAGCAGCTGCAGGATTGCTGAGAGCCATGTCTCATACCATTGGATGAAAATCTTTTTTCCATGGGTCGTCAGTCTGAATCAGAATGTTTCTACCTATTTGATCTGGATCCAAATAGCCAGGCTTCCCCCCACCCCCCGCCGCCATTTATACAGGTGGTGGTAATTAAATGGACTCCACATCTTAGACGTTAGGACACTACACTGAAAGGGACCCGGTCCCCGCCACAGCCTTGTGTGGCTTGGCTTAGAGAGGACACCGACCCTGTGTTGGCTGGTTCAAGGGACCCACGAGTGCGACCACACTAGGCGTCTTGTTTCCCGTCCTCGTCCTCCGAGCCATGGGGCCGCACGGCACCTGAGTGAGCGCCTGGATCGGGCTGTCTCGTACCTTCTCAGATGGAAGCGAAGGTACTTCAGGATCCCCCGGCTCGGCAAGAAGGTGCAGCTCAGACATGTCAGGATCTGCCAGCTGCAGAGGTTGCCCACGCTGCCCGGATGAGGCACTTTGTTGGTCTGCTTGATGAGCTGGCAGAACAGCTCGTCCCGCAGAGGGCGGAGGTCATGCCCCGTCTGCAGGATGCCCTGGATTATGGGGATGGGGTCAGACATGGCTTCCAGCTGCTGGAGGGAATTGAAGATCTTGATGGCTTCATCCTGAAGGGTGGTGTAGCCTTTGTCTTTGAGCACTAGGAGAAGAACACACACAGAAGCCTTTAGATGCAGGGCCTGGACATGCTACAATCTGAGCAGCACACACCCAAGGGGAAGGAATGGGGACAGACGGCAGCTTCGTGACGCGGTGCTCGCCACGTTCCCTGAACCTTCGAATCAGGCGAACAATGCTGTCAAAACACAGAGGTGGGCAAGTTATGCTGATTTGTTATATAACTGAACTATTTTATTCTACAAAATGCTTGCTTAAAAAGTTGGTCGGTTGCCAAACAGGTTCCCGATTTGTAATGTAAGACTCTCAGGATCTGGTTCTCTAGTAAATTGAGGCGACTGAGTTTGCAGGAGGGCTGACATTTCCTGCCTCCCTCTAAAATTGTTCTTTTAGTTCAACAGTGCGTGCATCACCACAGACAACAACGCTACGTGACCGAGCTAAGGAGTGACGAGGGCGAACAGAATCGTGTCCACCGCGGAGTATGGGAGGGACCGGGCACTCACAGTTCAGGTTTATGTCTCCGTAGGGCAGGGGCAGCAGCGGGGAGTGCAGGGGGTGGTGCGTGTGGCGGAGGATGGGGTTCCGCTTGTAAATCTGCTCCACCACATCGGAGTTCAGGCAGTTCTCCTTGAAAACAGAGGACCCGGTCAAGCAAGCAAGCTTATCTAAAACACACGTGTACAAGAACAAAAGCATCTGTATTTTTTCCTAAAATTTTTCTAGAGCACAAGCAGGTGGGGAGGGGTGGAGGAAGAGAATCTCAAGCTGACTCCATGCCCAGAGCGGAGCCAACATGGGCTCGATCTCACAACCCTGAGGTCATGACCTGAGCTGAAATCAAGAGAGTAGGAGCTTAACCGACTGAGCCACCCAGGTGCCCCAGCATCTGTGTTCTCCCACACATGAACATTCTCCAGCGTCTAAAGCATCCATGAGATACTAGAGAATCTAGCATTAATAATTTCAAGCACGGAGGCACCTGGGTGGTTGGTTAAGCATCCTACTCTTCATCTCAGCTCAGGTCTTGATCTCAGCGTCGTGAGTTCAAGCCCCGCGCTGGGTTCCATGCTGGGCATCATGCTGGGCATGCAGCCTACTTAAAAATAGTAATAATCTGGGGGGATCTGGGTGGCTCCATTGGTTAAGCATCCGTCTCTTGGTTTTGGCTCAGGTCATGATCTCAAAGTTGTGAGCTTGACCCCAGAGTCTGGCTCCGTACTCAGTGGGGAGTCTGCTTCTCCCTCCCCCTTTCCCCCTCCCTCTGCCCGTGCAGTCTCTCTCTCAAATAAATCTTAAAAAAAAAATTTCAAGCACGAAGATACCCATAATCCGTTTAAAGACAAATCACAAATCACATTTTTCTCACACACAGCTCATTCTCTTCATTTCATGTGTACATATTTTCTCCTGGAGATTATATATACTTCAAAGAATTAAAGTTCTTTTGCTATTTAGCCATCAAACATTTAGCAAACCATGTATTTTCATCTATAATTTGCTTAAAACATTGTTTTCGTTCTTTACTTGATCTTCTGTATTTTCTCTACACCTGAAAATTACACATGTTGATATGTTATGAGAGACTGTTCAACATGCCTAACCTCTTTCCTGAAATTTAAGAGATCCCTTCGTAGAAATTCATCATGTACTTATGCTCCTAAAATGTTAATCTGGGATTCGAAAAAGGCAAAATCCTTTTAGAACGTTAAACAAACAGAAAAGTTGGAGGAGAGGTAACGAATCATTCTATTGTGGTAATTTCCACTATGAAACTTTTTTAATAACACCCAATTGAAAGCCAGGAAAAAAAAAAAACAACTTTATTTCAACAATTCTGTATGGGCTTAATTAGGGCAACCTAATTATTTAAAAAGGACTGTTTCATATTTGGAAAATTCTATTACTCTTTTAATGACAGATTTCAAATTAGAGAACATAGGAATAGAGAAGACACAGCTTTGAAGAGAAAGTTCAGTGATGTGTTTTCGCTTTCTCAAAAAAAAAAACCTTCAAATTTTTTTTAATGCTAGAAATGAAATTGCTAGTATTTAGCATCCTGGGTTTCATGGAAAGCTCTGCAGAGTTTTGGAGAATATCTGATTTCGTGGAATTTAGCTCCAAATACCCAGAAAACACACCACTTTGGAATCCACAGGCAGACTTGAATTCAGTGGGAAATGATATCCTATGGACATATTAGACCCTCTCCCACCTCCGTGAAATCTAGCTGGCCTCCTGGATCTGATGAGCTAATTTCCTTTGATGTAGATCAGTAAACACCTGTCTTGCTAGCATTCTCAAATCTTTTATGTCACTATTCCAGCTCTTTGCTTGGTATTGGGAATCTATCTGATGGTAACTAAGAGGAACAGCAGTAAAAATAATCCCCTTGACCTGGTTCTGCATCAGGGACTGACCAGCTACGTGAACAACGCAACCAGAATATTCCACGTCTCTGTTTCCATTCCTGAAAAATGAGTGTGGCATCTCTGTGCATGGCTGCCATGTAATTATCCGTTCAATGTATACTCCCTGAGCAGTTCATCTTTATGAAAAGGAAATTACAATTTAACAATGTCAATGTTGGTCCAGAGACTTGGAAGCTTCCTGTGAGTTTGGAGGTGCCTATAAAGATTCCAAGTTTTCTAGACCAATCCAGGCTGCTGGTGACCCCCGCTGTGTGGTCCGGTCACTGTACAGTAAGAGGAGAATTACTGTGTTGCTCCGAGAAGGTCCCCACCCCAGGGCTCAAGGGCATCCTGTGGCAGCAGGTCATCCCCACACAGATCACACCATGTCCCTGGGATGGGGAGCCCTACACCCCAAACCACAGACCATCTAACATCTGGGTTTGCCTCGGCAGCAACATCTGACGCCCCTCTGAAAACAAAGTACTTTTAGTGTCAAATTTCACCTAAGCACTCACATTTCGATTTCTAAAAGCCGTGATATTCTAACAGAAAATTAATCAAAAGTTAGTTTTGATGACGGAATAAAAATGGAGCTTGACCGACGTCCCAATGTTCCAAGGGGGGGGTGGGGGGGAATCCGCGAGCTACCGTGACCCAGCCCTTGAGCTCGGGTCCACCGTACCTTGATGTCCTGAATCAGTTGCTGGGTGGGAGTGTCGATCGGGGCCTTGGTGTCCGTCACATTCTGGATGGCGCTGGACCACCTGGTGGCCTCGTTGAGCAGCTTGGTATAGAGCCGGTAGCAGTGCTTGCGACCGTACACGGTGACGTTCCAGTAGCCTGCGGCAGAGCGCACGCGCAGCGCGTCACCCTCCGCACGGGGGCGCGCCCCCCCGGCCACCCCGCAACCGGGCAACCCCTCAACCCGGCAACCGGGCAACCCCTCAACCCGGCAACCCGGCAACCGGGCAACCCGGCAACCCCGCAACTGAGCAACCCGTCAACCCGGCAACCCGGCAACCGGGCAACCCGGCAACCCCGCACTGAGCAACCCCTGAACCCGGCAACCCCGCAACCGGGCAACCCCTCAACCCGGCAACCC